TCTGATGTGTATGCACGCGCGCGCACACACACACACGCACACACACACGTACGCGCGTGAATATATTACAGTTATATATAACCATTGATAAATTAATCGTCAAAATAAAAATAAAATTCGTACAATAATAATTCATTATTATTATTAATTTATTAATATACATATATATGTGTGTGTATATATGTATAACATATATATATACAATAATAAATAATGAATTATTATATAAATTTTATTTTAATTTATTTGAAATCGTACGATATGGTAATTAATAAATGATAAGTAAATGTACGAGTAAAAGAGAAATGTCGTATTAACCATGGTGTAAGGAAACAAAAGGCTTGTTCGCGTCGCTTACTCCAAATTAACCCAGAGAGCACTTGGATCACCGGTAGGATGGCGGTTGGAGCAGTTGGATTCATGTGCCCCAACGCTCGGTGACACGAACGGATTTAGGAGAAGTTGGGACAAACGTCCTCCAGAAAAAAAGCGTCGCTCTGCCTCATGGACCGAGATTAATCGTTAAATTGAGCGCCACTCTCGTTAAAGTTGACTACAGAACATAGGTTAAGATATCTGTAAGAACCATGAAATACTTCTCTCAACACTACACATTCTCAATCATTACGCATGCGTGCGTAACATGTCCCAACCGCACCACCTTCTGAGGTGAAGCAAATAGAGCATGCTCTTAATTGATCCATGGAGTATGCTCTAATGTGACGCGAACATCTAATCGCCATATTGGTTCCGGTGACGCGAACGTATTAGAGCACGTTGGAATGAACAGGAGCATATTGGAGCGTGCGACGCGAACAAACCTAAGGTGTAGCGCGGCGCATGAGGCTGGTCAGGTGGTACGGGGCTAACCAATGAGAGAATTTTGCCAAAATGTGGTTGAAACGCGGTTGATTTGAAAATGCGAGAAAGCGTAAATATTAAACTGATTATATATATACAGAAAATAATGTATAAAAAACGATTGTAATTGCTTTATGATTCGCTTGCTGTAGGAATAGAATGAAAACAATATTTGTTAAATGCATTACTTATGATTTAACATAAAAGAAATATATGGTGATAATGTCGCATAAAATATTGGCAAGATTTAATTTATAAGATTTGTACTTTTTATTAAAAATGAAAAATAGACATATAAGCCATATAACGTAAGAATGCAGTAAATGATGAAATTATAAGGATTAAATACCTGGGTTTAAGTGGCTTAAAAATTTGAAATACTAAGTTCGAATGTTCAAATTCATGTAAAGTTATTTTTAAGCAATTAGTAAATAAAATTAATAAATAAAAAATTTCTAATTAAAAAATATATGTTTTGAATAATGTATTTATTTAATTCTTTAAAATAATAACCAGTTATTAAGAAACCAAAAATAAGAAATGAATTTTTGTCAAATGTCTGATATTTATTGAAAACTACAAGAAACGTTAAATTAACCCTTTAACGTCAAAATTGCTGTTCTCCAGCTCGGTTAGAGCAGTTCGAGATACAACAATTTGGCATTATTTATATATTTTTCAAATATTATACATTTTACGACCTTCCCTGCAAATACATGCAGTCACGTACAATACATATAAGCCGGTGGTACAATCGTACCTTCGTGTCTCCCGTTCGGCCGGCTTCGGCAGTTTTCGTACATTTTGGCAAAATTTACCGATTGGTTGAACGAAAATCCACTGCGCATCTCCCTTCGCGCTACACCTTGTTTCCTTACACCATGGATATACTGTTTTAACATGCGTTTATTTTTCATGCAATGCATTATATACAATATTATCTGAAGCGTACATTATTAATTCGCATGCAATACCTGAATGCTTATCATAAATCTTACGTA